GGGGGGGGGGGGCTGGGCGCAGCTGGAACGTGGCTTGAATGAATTCAGCTCTTAAACCCATCGTCTTCTGCCTTCGTTTCAACATAGGTAGCGTCAGCCAAGTAAACTCAAAATAACAGCCATTTTTGCCTTTTCGTTTACCTTTTGTTTTAAGTATATAAAATCATTGTTGAACGCATCTTAGGAAGGTAACTTTTAAATGAACAATGTCATTTGTTTTCCTTAAAAATCACACTACTACAAAACGTTACTTTGACACACTGAGAAAAATCTTAACAGTGAGGCAAACCGGAAAAGTGAAGATCTTCCTACTGACAATTTCTCCCTCAGAGTCTTTTTTAAAGATATTATAGAACAATTGTATACTCACCGTTGTTTGAGCAGATCCTAAATCGGTCAGCTTTTTGTGTAAACAGAACGTTGTGAGACGAAAATCCTCTCAGACCAAGATCCTTTTTATTTCTTTGTTTGATTTTCATGTGCAAGTGTATTCTCCTGTTCTGATGTCAGATTGTTTTATATAATTCGAGGCAGAGCAGTCAGAGTTGGAAATTTCCTCCTTGGAACTGCTGTATCTTTGAATGCTTGTCGCCATTTTTTTTTTTAAAGTTATCCTGTTAAGGAACCGCTCCATTATAGCTGCTAGCCAATCACACGTCTTCAAAGCCGCATAAATAATTTGGCCGCTGAAGCTTTCAAATCAGTATTTCGTGCAAATTAGCAGAGTGCATAAATTGAATTTTCGTCTGAAGCTAAGATGTTATCGCAAAGAAGGTCATTGCTTTTCTTTCTCTCATCAATTGGTTTGGGACTACTGATATTTTCCCATAAAACAGGTGAGTAAGTAGCAGTGCTTATTCCAGCCAGGAAATAAAACTACGTTATTCATGCCATTACCCAACGACGCTAGCGTATTTGTCCCATTTTGATGACTTTCAATGGAAGTGCAAATTTTCTTTTTATTCGATAAATTTAGAAAAGATTTGGTGAAAATTATTACGTACTGGCTTCGTCTATTCTTCTTCTGATCGGTAATTGTGTGTTGAAACAAGGTATCTCCCTCATTGCTGTTGTCAAACTATTTTGGCTATAAAAGCGAGAAAGAAGGGTTTTGGTGCCCAAACCCTCTGTTACGTTTTCCTTTCGTATGTAAAGTGCTTCATTTTACTTATTCGTTTGTACAAAGCTGATTGAAATAGTAGACTGTTTACTTTTAACATTAAACAAATCTGACTTTCTTTACAAAACTACAAAACGCAATGACACTTATAAAGTATAGCAGGAAGCCGACAGTAACACGAACATGTTTTTAAAGATTTCACTCTTGAAAATCATCTTAAACGGCACGCATGGAAGAAAAAAATTCAAACAAATTCTAAAGATTACCCTGTTTATTGTATCGAGCTAAGCTTATGCATCCTCTTCACTCGATTCGTGACTGACTCAGTAAACAGTGTACACGTGGACAAAACTTTGAATTTTGAACTTGTCTAATGGGTATCAAATCCTATACATTTAGAAAACCTAAATTAGGAAATATGTAAAGTACCTCTCGTGTCGATTTAGACTGTTTGCCCGAACCTTGCACCTTCACGTAAAATTTAATTTATCTCAGTCCAATTTAATCAAAACTGCTGAATTTCTCGATTAGTGGAGTTTATTGTAGCGACTTAATGGATGTCAAGATTTTTTAATGCAACTTAAATTTCTTACTATAGAATACTTATACTTAATTTTTGACACTAACAACTCGCAACAGAAAAATTATTCAATTGACAACTTATCCTGCAAATCCAAAAATCTTATTTATTTGATTTAATGAAACACATGCAAATTACAGTATACATCAGATCAGGAGAGAGTAAAGGCCAACTTAATGAACGATGAGAACACCGCCCGTCTATCTTAAACCACCAGTGATCCAACTCCTGTCTCCTTACATTTCAATCAGTCTGGACGTTCAATCAACGAAGTTCGCCGTCTCATTCCACTTGAATTCATACGCAGCAACCGTGACGCAGTGAGAAAGGCTAGGGAGGCTCTCTTAATACGCAAAGAGAAAACATTTTCTCCTCTATAGGAATAATTATAGACATGACGAAGCTCGTTGATATACAATACTACATTGTACCTAGTCACCCACACCAATCACCATCTATTGTTTTATATTTATATTTCCAAATCCTTATTTGTAACGACCTTTCAGTTTTATTTTCATTTTTGTTTTAGCCCCCGAAGAAGGTTTTTTAAAATACGTGTACCTTTTGTTTTATTCTTAAATTTGTTTACTTGTTCATCGCCTTGCCGTCAGGATCAGTCTGCCGTTTTATATTTTATATACTAGTTGTTATTTTACTGATCCAGGTCTACAACTGTGAGATCCGGGACTACTCAACGGTTTGTTCCTGTGGACTTTTCGTCTTTAATACAAAATATATACCATGCATTTCCCAGTCGACAAAAACATGAGATCGAGGCTAGATCTTGCAACCAGCCAGTCTATCAATCCAATGGCGTTCAAATGGTGAAAACATGTGGCATCTAGAGCGACACCAGCGAAACCAATGTAATTCCCGCGGGGGAAAAAAACTAGATTCGAAAAGTAAGCTAATTTTTCATTATGTTGTGTAAAATTTATCCCCCCTCTAACATATGTAAGAGTTACGGTAGAGTAATTTGGAGCTATTGCAAACAATACGGCGAAACTAAACGATTAGGCCATATTTAGTGGCAGAAGGTAGCGTTCAACATTGAAAAATTGAACTCAAAGTTAGGCACATTAGGACTACCACGTTTGACTTACATGGGAACAGACATGAACATATGAAACTATGCTTCAAACATATGAAACTATGCTTAAAAAAAAGCGGGGTCCCACACAATATTGTCATAAATGAACTTTGCGTGCTCCACACTATATCCTGAAATTACAGAAGAAAAAAAAAACAGGGTTTCCTGTTTGTAAAAAGGAACATTTCGCTGTCCTTTCAACACACCGGAACTATAAGAGCATTGTTCGTGCCAGTCCTACTCCGCATCACACATCACTTGAAGACCGGAGTGCTCGTTTCATCGCCAAACCTTTATTCACCCTGCCTTAGATTTATTTACGACTGAAAACCTTACTGTTACTCTACGGTATCTATAAACGTTTGATTCACTCCATGCCAGTTCTCGATCTACATTTCGCCTTTATCAATTTCTCAGAAAAAAGTCGTGTCCTTTACCAAGTATTGGCGCCAGAAATCCTGAAAGGTCCCACAACGTAAAGAGACCTGCCGAGGTGGGCGTGCGAACTCAACATCTTTCCTGCGCTTTTTGTACGGGTGAATCGACCAATCACACGGTGTGACGCATGGCAGTTTGTGACGAGAGTGACAAAATTGAAAATTTGTTGCAAAAAGCAGAACTCGGGTGTACTTTGCGCAACATTGTGCCACAACTTGCAAGACGAAAATTTGTTGCGTCACAAGTTGAGCGCACAGGTGGTAATACGAACAATAACGCTTTGCAACTTGCAATTCGGCAAAATTAATATTACACGACAAGTAAAATGTTTCTTTGAGTGGTTTGCTTCGTGCCTAAGATTGAAATCGGAAATGGCGCTTCCCGTTACTTCAGGTTTTCCACAAGGAAACTGTTATTGTGTTAGTATCAATGACCTAGCTGCTATCATTGAAGACTCCTTGTTATCACAATATTCTGACGCCGCAGTTAACTGCTGCTTCTTAAAATAACCGCCCAAGCTAATGAGCAGGTTAAATGTAGATCTCTACAACCTAGAAATATGGCTAAATGCATGCAAACTTTATTAATTAAATGATTATACATATAGCTGGTAGTTAATAAGATATTGTTAGCATAGCTAAATCCTACAGCCGCAGCATTACTATCTTTTAGATACCCTAGTAGTAAAATATATGTAAAAGAACCTGGATATAACGAAACCTCGGTATAGCGAATAAATTATGCCAGTCCCTCGGCCCTTCGTTATCTCGAGGTTTCACTGTACCTATACGAATCTCTTCAATTCAGGTGCCCTTCGTACTCGCTGCCTCTTTACGCAAAAATGCTAATCAGACGACGTTTTCGTATTTGAATTTCAAAAGAATTTTTACCCGTAAACGAGGTTAGACGGGCATATTACCATATGTGAGAAGAGCGTATGGCGTTCAAATGGTGAAAACATGTGGCATCTAGAGCGACACCAGCGAAACCAATCTAATTCCCGCGGGGGAAAAAAACTAGATTCGAAAAGTAGCTAATTTTTCATTATGTTGTGTAAAATTTATCCCCCCTCTAACATATGTAAGAGTTACGGTAGAGTAATTTGGAGCTTTTGCAAACGATACGGCGAAACTAAACGATTAGGCCATATTTAGTGGCAGAAGGTAGCGTTCAACATTGAAAAATTGAACTCAAAGTTAGGCACTTTAGGACTACCACGTTTGACTTACATGGGAACAGACATAAACATATGAAACTATGCTTCAAACATATGAAACTATGCTTAAAAAAAAGCAGGGTCCCACACAATATTGTCATAAATGAACTTTGCGTGCTCCACACTATATCCTGAAATTACAGAAAAAAAAAACAGGGTTTCCTGTTTGTAAAAAGGAACATTTCGCTGTCCTTTCAACACACCGGAACTATTATAAGAGCATTGTTCGTGCCAGTCCTACTCCGCATCACACATCACTTGAAGACCGGAGTGCTCGTTTCATCGCCAAACCTTTATTCGCCCTGCCTTAGATTTATTTACGACTGAAAACCTTACTGTTACTCTAAGGTATCTATAACCCTTTGATTCACTCCATGCCAGTTCTCGATCCACATTTCGCCTTTATCAATTTCTCAGAAAAAAGTCGTGTCCTTTACCAGGTATTGGCGCCCGAAATCCTGAAAGGTCCCACAACGTAAAGAGACCTGCCCGAGGTGGGCGTGCGAACTCAACGTCTTTCCTGCGCTTTTTGTACGGGTGAATCGACCAATCACACGGTGTGACGCATGGCAGTTTGTGACGAGAGTGACAAAATTGAAAATTTGTTGCAAAAAGCAGAACTCGGGTGTACTTTGTGCAACATTTTGCCACAACTTCGAAGACGAAAATTTGTTGCGTCACAAGTTGAGCGCACAGGTGGTAATACGAACAATAACACTTTGCAACTTGCAATTCGGCAAAATTAATATTACACGACAAGTAAAATGTTTCTTTGAGTGGTTTGCTTCGTGCCTAAGAAATCGGAAATGGCGCTTGTGTTAGTATCAATGACCTAGCTGCTATCATTGAAGACTCCTTGTTATCACAATATTCTGACAGCGCAGTTAACTGCTGCTTCTTAAAATAACCACCCAAGCTAATGAGCAGGTTAAATGTAGGTCTCTACAACCTAGCAATATGGCTAAATGCATGCAAACTTTATTAATTAAATGATTATACATATAGCTGGTAGTTAATACGATATTGTTAGCATAGCTAAATCCTTTCATCCTTAAAAAAACTGTCAATTAAGGATCAATTTGGATAGTCTCAGATGAGACTTTCCATGAATAATTTGTGCATTTCTATGATTTATTTGTTTTACGTTTATATTCAAGGCGTGATACTCGTGCTAACTTAACTCATCGGCTGTGTCCGTTTACTCTAAGTGCTTGTATTAATCCATGGTTCTGTTGACTGTAAAATTCAATATGTAGCCCTACAGTGGAACCTCGATATAACGAACCTCTATGGAACGAAGTCCTCGGTATGAACGAACTTTTTTTTGAACCCCAGTAATAGTAAAATATTTGTAAAAGAACCTCGATATAACGAAACCTCGGTATAGCGAATAAATTATGCCAGTCCCTCGGCCCTTCGTTATCTCGAGGTTTCACTGTACCTATACGAATCTCTTCAATTCAGGTGCCCTTCGTACTCGCTGCCTCTTTACGCATAAAGATCCTCATTGTCATTGTAAGTAATAAATTTATTATCTTATGCTTCGCTATATTCTACTGCCATATTTTCAAGGTCTTCTTGTGTTTCTTCCCGCCTAATTCAAGCCACTCAAAGATATAATATCATACGACATCATTTTTTCTGGGGCCGACGTGCAACTCGCATATGTTAGGCTTATCAAGTGAGATACATGCCAACTCAAGCCAAAATTTTGCCTCCAATTTTTTCCAAGATGATATTCTCTTTATTAGCTGTTTATTTCTTAGACGCGTTTTGGTGCCCGTTTTGTTGCCTAAGTGTTTTAACGTACGAAGTTACATGATGCATAGAAAAGAACGTAACTACGTTTGGTAGAGTAAAAGGCAGTTTAGTTTACTCCAGGTACCGGGTTAATAAATTGAAAAAAAAATTAATTCCACACTTTATTTTTTTTTTCTATTTTTTTTTTTTTTCAACGAAAAAGTTAGTTTCAATGATATTTACAAGAGCCTTGCCTCTAAATTTTCAGCTGCGGGTAAACTCCCGGTGTTGTTGAAGTGCAGGTTTCCCGGAAAATGGTTTACCATCGAGAATGTCAGTAAACGGAACTCTGAAGGAGGCTGGGATAACGTAAATGCTGCAAAGAGCGTTGCAGTGGCTCAGTGTAAGAGTTCTCGCACTGCGAGCTCTGATAGCGGTGCTCAATGTGCGGTTACCGGTACTCTGCCAGAGATCCAAGAAGCAGATGTAGTCAAGGTGGACTATTTTTGCTGGGAAATAGGTGAGGAAATCGACCGATATTCGTTAGCTGTTTAGTTCGTGAACAGAATAACCAACTATGAAATTAAAAATAATTGTCCTTACTATATGTCTTCTCATTGGCTACGAGACTACAGTTTAGTTTTGGAAATCAGCGCTACCTACAGATTGCCATTAACAGTTTACTGTCTGATCACTGGCTAATCTGCTGGCCCCAGTTGTTCAAACGGTGGATAACGCCATCCACTGGATATAATCTCTATCCAGTGGATAGCGCAATTGGTTTTCGTACTACTCATCAAACTAAACAGGGATTTATCAGGTGTACAGCGCGCGCTATCCAGCGTTTGAACAACCCGGGCCAGGTTGCGGGCTCAATGCATGATTTCCAAAAGCAATGTCAATCTGTGTTCTGTGCGACGGTCAGGTGTTTGCCTTTCATTATTTTTTTTTTCTTCAAAACAATATCTAGTAACAAAAACAGTTGCTAGATTCAGTTTTTGCATTGTGATATCCCGGAATAATCAAGATCGTTGGGCGAGGCCGATAACACTTACCTCGACTTTGATTATTCCGGATATCACAAAAACGTCCGCCATCCAACAACTGTCTAAGAACATTGTCTTATTATTATAACGCACCAATAAAGTGACAATCTGTTTTTTTGTTTTTTCGTTTGTCTTTTAAAGTAAGCAGATAATCATGAACTGGGAGAACCTCTTCGACATTATATTGTGCAAGGTTTTGTTACAAATTATGATGAAAGTCACTCTACGTTTTGGAGTCATTATTTAAGTGACACCCCTCTCTAGCCGCACTTTGCTGAAGACAAGACAAGCAGTGAATATACCTCTTTTATCTTTTTAATAAACAGTAATAATAGTTCAGAAACCTCTTTGCCCTGTCTCGCCTCGCTCCTCGCCACTACCTTGCAGTGTTTGCAGGCTATACCACTAAAACATGTTTAATAGACTACTAAGAATTTCATCACGCCAGTTGCTCCAATCATAAGTTATTCCAGCAAATGAGACTGCAAGCAATTGCAAGTCAGAGTAGATAGAGGCCGTAGTCCAGGTTAAGGTTATTTGAGATAACATAAATTTAAGATTTTACTGATACTGGATGTCGGAAGCGCCTCTTGAAAACATAATGAAGCTGAGGCTACGTTCTGGTGCACAGAACCGGCCAGTTAAAAATTCGTGCATTTGGGTGTCCTGTTCACACGGAACCGTGCTAACAGAACGAAAATTTAGACACCTTGCCGTTCAAAAATTTGAAAGCCAGAAACGAAGTCAAAATATTAGCCCGCAATACGGTAAAAAAATTTGATCGGCGCAGTGTGAACACCATGCACGACCAATATGCACGACCGTCTAAATTTTTGTACGGCAAAGGCGTGGTTGCGTAGATGCGAGAGACGCCATTTTGGATTTGCTTAAGTAGCGCTCGGTGCATGAATAGACGGTAACACCACTTGACAGAAGAAAGTTAGAATTCAACCTGTTTAGTCAGTTCCGTGTGAACAGAGCGAAAATATTTAATGGCTCCCTGAGAACGAAGTGTCTGGTCAAATGTTTCATCCGTTCTCGTCTGAGAGTAGCCTAAAATTCATCACTTGGTGCTTTTCTTTACAGATCCTGATTTATTGGGTGGTTTCGGGAAGAGGTATACAATCTGAAGTCAACATTATTCACTGACGATATCCTGTAATTATGGCTACTCTTTGAGTTGTTATAATTTCTGACCTAAAAAAATTAAAAGAATCTTTCTCAACAGTATTTTAAGTCTATCCTGGTTATTTTAGACGTTATCTAGACGTTATCCAGACATTATCTAGGAAAAGACAGTGGTAAGGCAGAATTTTTCCTTATCACTCACTACCTCTGTTGTCAAATTTCCTTTGAGGTAAATTTAAACCTCCCGTCAAGCTTGTTATCAAAAACGTTCCGGACTCCTAACGTAATGTATAGATTTAGCCAGGGCTAAAAGCGAAGCTCTCGATAATATTTATAGTTTGTTCAAATAAAATATAAATTACAGGGGCCGCGGAGGGGGAGGGGCTGGTAGGGCTATAGCCCTACCACTTTTATTGCTGGGATCTATTTCATAGGACTCCAGCTGATATGGAAAAAATTTCCATGGAATTATTGCTAGTTTGCAGTGTCACCCCATTCAAAATAGATCAAAATAAAAATCAAAACCATTCAATAGATAACGTCCGGAATCTGGGAAATGAAAGGAGGCACATATACAAAGACCCTGGCCACGATTCAGGTCAGATGAATATTTCGTATACGAGATATCCGAAGAAATGTTTTACCCAAACTTATAGAGATTTGTATGGAGACGCCATGCTGGTGCTCACCTGGATGAGCTCCAACATGGCGGACGGAAACCAACAGAAACATCTGTTACCGAGTTTTGCTACAAGAGCGTGAATTTATTCTTCGAAAAACTCATAAACATTAAAGTAATACTTTTCTAATACACGAACTGTTTAGGTAGCAAAATTTCCTGTAATATGTCGTTTTTTTAACCTACATCACAGCTCTCTTGGCCGTCATGTAGATGCCGCGTCACGCAAGAGCTTAGATATTCAAGCGTACTCTATCACAGGGGCGCTACCTAGGCAACTAAGTACTATGGAAGAAGGAGAAGATATCATGTTTTGACGAAATCCTGTTGGCGGTGTTAAAGTTTCCAGAACCAGAAAACAAGCTAATTCAGGAAGTCCAAACTATCTGTAAGCTGCTTGCTGTAAATCCTATTACCAGCGCTGCTGGCGAGGGTTCATTCTCATCCGTACGTACGGCGTCTAAAGACGTGGCGTCGATCCAGGATGGGTGATGAGAGATTTAAACAACCTAGTAGTAACGTTGAATGGTTAATGTTGAGAACAGACAGCGTCTCTATGGCTGACGTCGCAGTTTGTTTCCAGCAATGAGGACCGCCAGAGAAATTTCTGCACTGCTGACAACTTCAAAGTAGCAATTTTAGGAAGATTTATTCAACATATTGGCTATACTGGATACTATAACACGTGACGATGTTTATGTTATATTTGTTGAGGCTGTAAATAAGATGGCGCGCAAATGCTACACTGCGAGCAGTCTCTCTTTTCTTCAGATTTCAAGGCGGTAAGGGGATTGCACGCGCCTGTGAGCGTGTCTCGGGAGTTTTGCTCGACGGACCAAGAGAAAAGAGAGACTGCTCGTAGTCTACTCAAATGCAAGATAAATGGCGAAACACTGAACTTAATGTTTCTTTGTATTGGCAAGATTTTTTAGCCCTACCACTTTAAAATTGTCTCCGCGGTCCCTGTAAAATCGTGTAATTCTAAGCGGCGAAGGCATGCACTGCCGGAAAACGGTGAAAAATAACTATAGGTCTAATTTACGCAAAAGCAACTTTACACGTGCAGCACACCTTTATTTTTCTTTTCTTTATCGTTGTTTCTGCACGACTTCAACGTGAAACTTCCAGAAACTTCTTAGTTACACGTTTTATGAAGGAAACGTTCACTTTTTTTTACTGCCGCTCATTTTCACCTTGCATTGGTGGCCGCTAGCATTTCTCATTTTGTCACCGCCGCTACAAAATTTTCATCTTGTTCTTCTAACAAATAGATGTCTCCCTCGTTGAGCTTCGCTGGCCTGCAGCCCACTTTCTCTTTTTCTGTCTTTCTCTCGCTCTATATTCCAAATTTGTGGACATGACAATTTATCTAAGCTTAATAATTTAGACAACACAGATACAGAAACAATTTTCGCTTTCCGTTTTCGTCTTTATTGACTCTTTTGTTGTCCCTGCTTTACAAGACGTCGGTGGCTATGCGATTTCCCGCCCAAATAACCTCGAGTTGCATTTGACTTGCCATACCTGTTGATTGAGTTATTTTACATTGGTATGCCTGGTGCGGACAGACGATCTCTCTGGCGGGCGGTCGGTGTACGGTCACGTGATTACCAAATTTTCTCGGATGGGTAGATTACTTCATTTTCTTACCCATGGTGCTCCGCTGGCGCGTTTCGCGCGTGAGACCTTTGCTATAATTCACAGTTCTAAGGAGCTAGTTATATACCAATACGCACTTTTAAGGCAACAATTTCATTTTCAAACGATAGTTGGTAAATTATTAAAAAATGTATGAGTACAGCGGATCAGTAACGAAAGCCCAAGGGACTGGCATAATTTATTCGTTATACCGAGGTCTCGTTATATCGAGGTTCTTATCAGTTTCCATTTATTTTACTATTACTGGGGTTCAAAAATAGTTCGTTATACCGAGGACTTTGTTCTATGGAGGTTCGCTATATCGAGATTCCACTAGATTAAGGAGGGTACTGGATCCATTATTGCGTGAACAACGACCAAATGTGCCACGATTTCGTTGTTCACTTAAGGGAGGTGGCGCGAGAGCTAGGCAGTGTTACTGGGGAAACCCTGTTTTTCTCTCTAAGTCACGCGCGTGAAAAAGGTTAAGTTGCGTTTCTTATGTTATGCAGAAGAACTCCGATTTCTCAATTGTTTTTCAAGACTCTCGATGACAGGGTAAAAACTGACCTCACTTTCCAAGCCAAACTCTGTATATATGCATTTAAANATTGGTGGCCGCTAGCATTTCTCATTTTGTCACCGCCGCTACAAAATTTTCATCTTGTTCTTCTAACAAATAGATGTCTCCCTCGTTGAGCTTCGCTGGCCTGCAGCCCACTTTCTCTTTTTCTGTCTTTCTCTCGCTCTATATTCCAAATTTGTGGACATGACAATTTATCTAAGCTTAATAATTTAGACAACACAGATACAGAAACAATTTTCGCTTTCCGTTTTCGTCTTTATTGACTCTTTTGTTGTCCCTGCTTTACAAGACGTCGGTGGCTATGCGATTTCCCGCCCAAATAACCTCGAGTTGCATTTGACTTGCCATACCTGTTGATTGAGTTATTTTACATTGGTATGCCTGGTGCGGACAGACGATCTCTCTGGCGGGCGGTCGGTGTACGGTCACGTGATTACCAAATTTTCTCGGATGGGTAGATTACTTCATTTTCTTACCCATGGTGCTCCGCTGGCGCGTTTCGCGGGTGAGACCTTTGCTATAATTCACAGTTCTAAGGAGCTGTTATATACCAATATGCACTTTTAAGGCAACAATTTCATTTTCAAACGATAGTTGGTAAATTATTAAAAAATGTATGAGTACAGCGGATCAGTAACGAAAGCCCAAGGGACTGGCATAATTTATTCGTTATACCGAGGTCTCGTTATATCGAGGTTCTTATCAGTTTCCATTTATTTTACTATTACTGGGGTTCAAAAAATATTTCGTTATACCGAGGACTTTGTTCTATGGAGGTTCGCTATATCGAGATTCCACTAGATTAAGGAGGGTACTGGATCCATTATTGCGTGAACAACGACCAAATGTGCCAAGATTTCGTTGTTCACTTAAGGGAGGTGGCGCGAGAGCTAGGCACTGTTACTGGGGAAACCCTGTTTTTCTCTCTAAGTCACGCGCGTGAAAAAGGTTAAGTTGCGTTTCTTATGTTATGCAGAAAAACTCCGATTTCTCAATTGTTTTTCAAGACTCTCGATGACAGGGTAAAAACTGACCTCACTTTCCAAGCCAAACTCTGTATATATGCATTTAAACACTCTCGCTATAACAAGATTTCGCGCTATTAGTGTAGAGAGTAAGGGATGGTGGAAGCAGAAGTTGCAATTTACGGCCCTTTAAAAAAACAAGCGAACTCTGAAGATTAAAAGTCGCCTTTGCAATTGCGTTGCATGAGTCAATACATAGTATAGATATCACAATAAATTTTGTCCAGTTTCCCTTGTTTATTTTCATTCTAGTAATTGTACCTAAATTCCATGTTTACAGTTCTTAGATCCGCTACTATGTTCCTTTTTCTAACGGAGAGTCATCTACCTTCTTTTTTCTTTTATCCCTGTGACGCCCGATACACGAATCTGTGAAAGAAAAACAAAAAGATCTTTTAACTTTGTTGCGAAACAACACTGATTGGCTGGTCATAAGCCGGCTTTCTAAAAGACACTACTTCGATGATATTCAAAAATCAATATCAAATCAACACATATATTTTACTACGCCAACCACACGCAACAAAAGCTGGTTTCCTAGTGGGCGTAGGTAAACACGCATTACAAGCAAATACATCGAGGTAGTACTATGTTCACAAAAAATAAAATAAAAATTACAGGGAATAATTAATTACGTAAAAATGTAATATATAATATAGCTAGTTTTACAATATAATTATGTTGGTGGGAGCTTTGAAGAGAGATCTCACAAGTTTAAAATATTACACACATACAAATTAATGAATCAGAGCGAAGAAAAGAGGCAAATTTGCTTTTAAATTCGGACAGCGACTGTGCTGTTTTTGCCTCATAAGAAACATTTTTCCAGAGCATAACACCACTATACTTCAAACTACGATTGAGAAAATTAGTCTTTGACCTTGGAATTGCTAGATCAGTTTCAAGATTCCAAAGATTTTAGTTGATGCCGGTATCGTTGAAATTTGTAAAGGAGGCTCTCAAATGAGGGGCACATTGATCATTGGGGATTTTGTACGTTGGGATTCCTTTATATGTGAGCGTCTGGTTTCGAGGTTTTGCCATTTCAAATTGCATATCAGGCACATCTCCCGTTCTAATGTCATACGAAGAACCGGTAATGACCCTACCCGCACGGTTTGAATTCTTTGGCAATTTATCTTTCAGTTGCTTTCCACAAGTATCCCATAAGGGGGAACAGTAATCAAAGTAAGGATGTACAAGTGAATTGTATAAGGTTGTAAGGGTTTCAAAGCAGAACAAAAGGTTTAATTCTTCTTAGAGCTTCTATACCAGCGCATGACTTTTTACATATATACTTAATGTGAGTCTCAAACGTAAGCTTTTCATCTAATAATACTCCCAAACATTTGTTTGAGGTTACATGCGAAACAATATTTTTGTCAATGGATAAAGAATCAGGCAAATCTTTAGATTTATTATTTAAGTTATATCTCGACCCAATGAGCATTAACTTACCGTAAAATTCCGAAAATAAGCCCCGGGGCTTATATTTTTCAAAGGCCCTTTTGAGGGACTTATCTATGAAGGGAAATTTGAGTTTTAAAATCGATTGGGCTATCCTTATAGTAGGAATGAAATTTACCGTTTTTGCTTTGTTTTACTTTGTATTTGTGGGCGATTTTCAAGTACAAGCCCCCGGGTGGCTAATATTTGGAGGGGCGATTTAATGGAGGGTTTTTTTTGTGTTACGACTTTGGGCGGCTTATATTTATAGAGGCTTATTTTCGGAATCCTACGGTAGATTTAAAGGATGGAATTGGATCCTATTAACTGTGAGCCAATCACAAAGGTTTTCCAGAGCAGAATTGATATTATTTACAAGAACAGTTGCGTCAGTACTAGAGCCAAATATTTGGGAATCGTCAGCATATAAACAGGGGGAGGTAAATTCTAAGCAGTTTGGTAAGTCATTTACATAAATGAGGAATAGCAGGGGGCCAAGAAGAGACCCTTGAGGAACTCCACAGAGTAAGTTTGTTTGAGAAGATAAATGTTCATTTACGAAACATTGTTGTTGTCGGGCGGTAATATAGGACTTAAACCACATCAGTTCCCGACCAGACACTCCTTAATACTCAACCTTCTCTAGTAAAATCGAATGATCAATTCAATCAAAGGCCTTACGAATATCAAGAAAAAGTACCCTTGTCAATTTTCCATTATCCATATTTTCAAACCGCTTGTCACACATTTGAATCAAAGTTGAAACAGTCCTGTGAAGAGGGTAAAATCCTGACTGGAATTCAGAGAGAATAGAATTGTCCTTTAGATAACGATATAGTTGGTTTAAAAAATGTCTTTCTCGAAAACCTTACTAATTGTTGGCAACTAAAGATC